CTCCCGGGTTCAAGCGATTCTCATGTCTCAGCCTCCAGAGTAGCTGGGATTACAGGTGCACACCACCACACCTAGCTAATTTTTTTTGTATTTCTAGTAGAGATGGAGTCTCATCATGTCGGCAGGCTGGTCTTGAATTCCTGAACTTGTGATCCACCTGCCTCAGCCTCCCAAAGTGCTGGGATTACAGACATGAGCCACTGCACCCGGCCAGCTATTTCCATTTTGGGGCTACTATGAATAAGGTTGCCATGAACATTCTTGTAGAAATCTTTTTGTCAAAACATTAGCTAGTTTTAAATGTAAACTTACCATGGGCACAGTTTTTTAAAAAAGAATCCGACAGTACAGAAGGCTATAACATGAAAAGTAGAAATTGCCTTCCCCATTCTGCCTCCTTTCAATTCCTTTGTTGTAAGCCTTATTAAGTTTCTCATGAGTTCTTCCAGAAATTTCTTAAGCATATAAACACCCACACACATACACACAAATGAGATCATCTTCCTTCACTTAGGTTTTTATCATTTAACAATTATCGTGGGGATTCTATTACTCAGAATCGGCCAAAATATGCTGATCTAATAGAAAGCATCCGCAATCTCAGTGGGTTAAAATTGTACATGTTTATTTCCCACTCATAATACATGTCCAGTCAGCACAAGGAAGAGGACGATGCTCACCACAGTCACTTGGAGACCCGGTGCCATCTCAGCATTTGTGTCCACAGTCACTGGGCCAGGGACAAGGAGATGCTATGCATCAGAACTTAAGGTGTTAACCCAGAAGGGACACTTCTTTTTAGATATCACTGGCCAAAAGCCACACGGCCACATTCATCTATCTTCAAAGGAGTTGGGAAAGTGCAACCTTACTCTGTGTGCAAAGGGAGGAGAGAGGCAGAACATTTGGGAATAGCTTTATTTTATTTTATTTATTTTTTGAGACAGTCTTGCTCTGTTGCCCAAGCTGGAGTGCAGAGGCACCATCTCAGCTCACTGCAACCTCTGCCACCCAGGTTCAAGCAATTCTCCTGCCTCAGCCTCCTGAGTAGCTGAGATTATAGGCACCTGCCACCACACCTGGATAANCTGGAGTGCAGTGGCACAATCATGGCTCACTGCAGCCCTGACCTCCTGGGCTCAAGCAATCCTCCTGCCTCAGCCTCCCAAGAAGCTGAGACTACAGGCTTACACTACCATGCGTGGCTAATTATTGAAATTTTTTTGGTAGAGACAAGGTCTCACTATGTTGCCTGGACTGGTCTCAAACTCATGGACTCAAGTGATTCTCCTACCTTGGCTTTCCAAAGTGCTGAGATTATAGGCATGAGCCACCACACCCAGCCTTCTTAACCAATTTCTATCATTACACAATACAAGCAATGCTACATGAGCATCCTTTTACATTAATCCTTACCACTTGTTTCAGTGTATCTCTTGGATGAATTCCTCAAAATAGGATTGCTGGGTCAAAGAGTTTGTGCACTTTTTTTTTTTTTTTTTTTGAGACAGAGTCTCACTCTGTCACCCCAGCTAGAGTGCAGTAGTGCTACCTCGGCTCACTGCAGCCTCCACCTCCCAGGTTCAAATGATTCTCCTGCCTCAGCCTCCCTAGTAGCTGGAACTACAAGGATGCACCACCACCCCCAGTTATTTTAATTCTCTGATCATTGCACAAACAAAGACGGTTTCTTTGTTTGGTTTGGTTGGTTGGTTGTTTGAGACAGGGTCTTGCTCTGTTACCCAAGCTGGACTGTAACAGTGCAATCTCGGCACACTGAAACCTCCACTTCCCAGGTTCAAGCGATTCTCCCGCCTAAGCCTCCCGAGTAGCTGGGATTACAGGCGTGTACCACCACACCCAGCTAATTGATGGGGTTTTTTTTCTTAGTACAGATCAAGTTTTGCCATGTTGGCCAGGCTGGTCTTGAACTCCTGGCCTCAAGTGATACACCCGCCTTGTCCTCCCAAAGTGCTAGTATAGAGGCGTGAACCACTATGCCCAGACAAACTAAGACAGTTTTAATTTGCATTTATTTAGTTAGGAATTATATCTAGCATCTTATCACATGTTTGTTAGCCACTTGTATTTGTTTATTTTGTAAATTACTGGTCCCTGACTTTTTGCCCATTTTCTGCTGGGTTATTGGTCTTTTTTCTCATTAAAGAGCTCTTTGTAGACTCAAGAAACTGGTCTATATATTATCATGTGTATTTCTTTCTTTTTTNACTGCAACCTCTGCCTCCTGGGTTCAAACGATTCTCCTGCCTCAGCCTCCCAAGTAGCTGGGACTACAGGCACACGCCACTACACCCAGCTAATTTTTGTATTTTTAGTACAGACAGGGTTTGATCATGATGGCCAGGATGGTCTCGATCTCTTGACCTCATGATCCGCCCGCCTCGACCTCCCAAAGTGCTGGTATTACAGGCATGAGCCACCCGTCCGCCCTGCATTTATCTTCTGTCTTTAGTTATGGTACTTTTCAGTCATATAGACATTTTAAATTTTATGTAATCAAAGCTACCAGTTTTTTTGCTTTGTGGATTCTGAGTTTTGGAACTTGTTTCAAAAGGCTTTTCCATATCTATATTTTAATCCTCTGTGTTTCTTTCTAAACTTTTCTATTCCTCCCTCTTGAGGGGAGCTCCCCCTCCCGAAAGACAGGGGTGGTGTTACTGAAAATAAGCTTCTTACAGAAAGGGGTAAGTACTGAAACAAACTCTTCAATTATCTTGCATCTGAATTGCCCCCAGAGACGTGCATGTTGAGCTTTAAAACTCTTTTCCTAAATGCACTCAATTCTTTCTCCAGGAAAATACCATTACTGGCCTAATTGCAGAGATTTCACTTGGAAAAAATTGATCTGGGTCAGCAGGAGCTGTTTCTGCCTCGTCTTCAAGTCTTGTTTCCTGCACATAGACACTATAATTATAGGCGAATTCAGCTGAGTTGATGTAACAAGCAAGTAGATGCCACAAAACTGGCAAGATAAAAGGAAAACCAAGAAAATTGAGGATGACTACTTTGTATTCGACTTTTCCTAAGACTGGGAACTTCAGAAATCTGCAAACTAAAAGTATAAGCTACCTAAACTTAAGTAAAAGAAGCAAAAGGGGATGGAAATGTATATTCTCATGGATACATAAAAATGACACTGTTTTCTGGTTTAAACTTTAAAAAGTTTGTGCATTGAATTAGGTAAGATGAAATCTAGAATTTTTCATTTTTATTTTCATTTGTGTGTCTCTTAAGAACAGACTTTTTTTTTTT